TCCATGCATTTATGTCTTCCGCAATGTCATTCTCGCCAATGGAATCGCTTTCAGGTGACTTTTCGCAGTTGAAGATTGCCTCTACTTCTCGACATTGTCCCAGTACAGTTCCTCTTTGGAGTTTTATTGGTGATTTGAACTCGTTAAGTACTCGAGCTGGAATGCGTCAATCCTTTTGCATTTTAGCCAGGGTTTTACCAATAAGTACGTCCGGTGTAGAATTCTGTGTTGCTTCAACAACCCACAATATGTTTGTCCCACAACCTCCATCAATCTTCACCCAAATAACTGCTTCTGACTTTGATGGAATCTGCTCACTTTCCTCTAGGATCACTCGCTTGCTGCTCTACGGGCCATCATACACAAAGCTTAGGGGCACTTCCATGTTGTTATATGTCATGATCTTGTTCTTTATGTCGATCTGCATACCTTGATTAAATAAGAAGTCTACTACAATGATGACTTCATCCACAATTTCCAAGTCGATGTTCAGCTCAATGATCTGTATTTTTTTAAATTTGAGAATTGTTGGTATTAGTGTTGGGCAGTATGGATTCCAAAAGAACTCGGAACTCGATTTTCAAAAGGATCGGCGGTACCCGATTTTTGAAAGTATCGATCCTGAGTACTTCAAAGTACTCAGTACACACAAACGAACTCGAAAGTACTCAGAAGTTAAAAGAGCTTGAAGGAATTCAGTACTCAAAAACACTTCCAATTATCACTCTGATACATGTATTCAGGATGGAGTGAACTGAGTACTTTCAGAGTCGAACAAATACTGCCATAAGAAACAAAAACAATTAACATAAGGACGAGCACACCTAAAAGTTAAACATTCTAAAAATAGAATTATTAACAAAAACCAACAAAACCAACAACCCCATGATCAAGTTTAAATATCAAATTATTGTTGCTTTTCCATGGCCTCAAGCTCAATAAAAATTGTTGAATGTAACTTATATTTAAAAGTTATATAACTAAATTCCTTCAAAACGCAATAATATTTGTTTCATTGATTTTATGAAAAAATGCTTTCTTACAGGGCTTTTCTTAACGAAAATTTAGGCATTCTCATATCTAGAGTTTTCCTTGTAACCTAAGCTATTTTAGAACCTGAAGGGGAAGCAACAATAAGTGAAATTTTTTATTCATATATTTTTACTTTATCTAAACGTTTATGTTATTATATTAGACTCCTTTCCATACCACCTTTGATGTGGATTAGTATCCCTCGTAGGCCAAATCCACAATTTAGTAATTAATTCATTACTGTTGCTCAGTTTCCAAGGCAAATTCTCAAAAATCTTTACTTACATCTATATTAGATGAAAATTTTTCAACATTTGTTGGTAACAGTGAAAGCTTCTATCTCTACAACACCTAATAATTTCAAAATATCTACATATAACCTTGTCACATGTTTCACCGCTACAATGTTGGCACACTGATGAGCACTTTAATCCAGTTTTTCGACATCCACAGGCTTTACCACACTTAATTTTGTACATGGAAAACATTAATTTTAATAACTCTGGAGGTGCAGCACGCTTGGTGCACTGTATCGGCATAAATTTCCGAAATGTTTTTCCATTGTCCGATCCATGTTTGAATTTGGTGGTGAACTCTCATCGAATGTTGATAAACTGCATCTTTGGTTGGAGGAAGCGAAGATAAATTGAATTTTGTTTTTACAACTGATTTTGTAAATAGTTTATAACTTAGTATTAAGGTACATCTATTGATTGTTCTGACCTATCTGGGCATTTTCCAAAAGTTGCGAGAAATTTCATTTTTCCAATATTGTAAGTCGCTGAAGTTGTGTCGCAGCGTGAGAAAGCGTGGATAAACAACAAATTGTTCCGTGCGATTGCTCCACGTTTGAATTGATTTTTGTAACTGAACGATCTTTTTGTCCGCTTTCGAAAAATATGTTATTTCGTTAGATGCTAGGACAGTAAGTAATATAAGAATATCTATGTCTTCAGCAACAACAATGACAGAATCAAAAAAGGATATATGCTTGCACAGCAGTTGTAACGATTAAAAAATCTGCATCATTTTCAGCTTGAGCAATGCTGTAGCATGTTTCCTCCCAGTTCTTTTTTCAGAAGATCGATAAAAGCTTTTTTATTATTTTCTTGCGATACCAGTGGAATGATATTTATATTTCGTAATATGTGCGCTGAGTTACGTTTTTCGACCTTCTCAAACACTCCCGTGATTTAGTACCAACAGTGTTCGGATTATAAAAAATAGCCATACTTATTTCAAGTATTTTTAGCAAACAATTTTAAGTTATACATTACGATGCCATACAACATTGTTCAGAAGATAACCGCCATCAATAATAAATAGTTTCTTTTTTTCAAAATTATGCGTTTTTTCCAGTGATGAAAAAGCATTGAATTACGAGGACTTTTTACCTTTTCACATACCATCTTTAGAGAACAGTGCTAACGGGAAAGGTGCGAGTTCATAATCAAAATATTTTTTCACATCATCAATTCATCGTTGAAACATAACTACAGGATCTATAGCAGCCGGAGATTTATCTGCTTCAATAGAACTTTAAGTTGCTGATAGAGAAAGTACTTTATTTTTTCGTTTAAAAGTCAGTTCTTGAAAATAAAATTAGAAGAAGACCTGCTTTCATTGTTACCCTCAAATGTGGAAAACTTCAACTAATATAGATGTAAGTATATAGATTTTTGAGGATTTGCCTATGGAAAGTGAGCAATAGCCAGGACCTTCTAAAAAATCAAAATTTCAAAGGTGGTGAGGAAAGGAGTCTAATAAAATTACATAAACGTTTAGATAAAGTAAAAATAAATGAATGAAAAATTTCGCTTATTGTTGCTTCCCCTTCAGGTTCTAAAATACCTAAAGTTACAAGTAATACATTTCTTCATGAAATCAATGAAACAAAAGTTATTGCGCTTTGAAGGAATACATACCTGAATTTTTAATTTAGTTTTAACTTTTTAAATATAATAGTTACAGAGAAAAGTTATACGAAGAAGTGGTAGATAACATTATTATCTAAATCAAAGGACTTAATGAAATGTTCATGCTCCTTACAGTTCACGAGTAAAACTCAAAAAACTAATCACGCCTTATTTTCAAAATGGCGCCGCGGGGCACCATCTCCCACCCACTAGAATTTAAGTTCACGATGATGTGTTTTATTAAAAGCAAAAATAAAATTGCATCCTATATGAAATGCACGGTTTGGTCTTTTTTGGTTCGAATTTACTGTAGGTATTAATATTAATTTAAATAAAGTGCTGCCAGCTTGTGAGATTTCTAAAATAAGCATTGAAATGTTACCAACATGAGTATATTTAAAGAAAGTGCTCAGTACTCTCAAAGTCTTTAAAAGTATGGATACCAAATAACTCGATACTTCCCAACATTAATATTTGTAATACGTAAATTACTAATTACAGAAATATTTGCGGAAGTGTGTAGTTGAGAATGAACGACCAGAAAATGTATTAGTGGTATAATGTATTTATTAACTGGTGACATATGCAGAAGATCAATTCTCGTTCTGTGTTACTGTGAAGTGATGGAAATAACACTTTCAGACCACATATACATATTTCTGTGTAAATTTTTTACTTTTCACTTCACGCAGAGCGGGAATTGACACCCATACATGTTAGTCGGACAAAATTGGTTTATGGGTTTAAACTACACACAGAGAAAAAATGCTGAGCCCTATTATGAGTTACATTCGATCTTCGACTGTGGTCGAAAGTGCTGATCGAACGAATTTTCATTTGGTATAATGGCGCTCATTCGATGAAGAATAGCGCTATTGTGAACTTCGCTCGTTTATGTTGTTCACAATAGTATCTTTCACCGCTGAGAAGCTTTGTTTACAAGTCGAGCAAACTAAATAGTGTGCTTATACATATTTATGTAAATTTGGGCAAATTAAAATGAAATAAAAAAGAAAGGAAGTTTATGAAAACGTGGTAAAAATTAGTACAACGAAGTTCTGGGGCTCAACGATTCGTCAGAGGATGAGAGTTTAGTGAACTGGCCAGGAGTAGTAAATGTTTAAGAGAGTTTAAGTGTAGTTTTTACAATATATTTTGACATAAAATATATTTAAGAAATTTGTCTACAGATTTACTAAAAACTTCCGACTGTCTAAAGAGGCGTTTGTGAGCCAAATCTATTTAAAATATTTTAAAACTATCAACAGCTCTATGATTTGTTCTCAGAGATCGTGCCAACTGAGTATTGGGATTTTCTTTCACAAGTAAAAGCCGCCTTTCGAGCTTGTGTTTTGTATTCACGACGTTAAAACTGCATGAAATTGATAAAAATTGTTTAAAATTAGTGTCTGCCCGCCAAAAAGTAAGAAAGCAAATGCAAAATCATAAATTTTTCACAATTTTCTAACACTTCGCTACACCATCGAAAGCAAAATTCTGTTCGACAGAAAATTCGATACTCAACGAAAATTTCAACACGGTTGCATAGATCATAATACGAACTTCACTTTCGATCTTCGATAACCAGCGAAGATCGCAAATCGAATGCAACTCATAATAAGGGCCGCTGTAAAATCAATCGAACTACAGGTTGTAACAACGGATTTCACAGTTAAATCACATACAAAGGATAAATCTATTAAATTAACAAATGCTCTCCTGTTGACAAGAAGTTTAACAGTTTTACTGTTTAATTAATCCAATAAAATTTCTGTTATTTACTAACAGTCCTGATTTTATTGGCCAAATATTTCTGTTCATTTTTAACAAACGCAACTGTTCTTTTTGCACATATTTATGTTAAAATAATTGTTCAATTTGTTTATGTACTTACAAAATTGCTGTTAATTTAATAGTACCGAAATACAGTTTTATTGACATTCAAAATTATTTTTTATTAAAATATGTAAATAAAAATCGTGTTTGAATATGGTTTTGTAGATCATTTATTTCATATAATTTGATCAAGTACATAAAAATATTTGCTTATAGTAAAAAACATACACTTGTGGTCAGCTGATTAATTACAGTGACATTTGGACTAGTTTTTGCTATTTTTCTTCCGTTTATTTAATATTTAATTTTTTTTATAAAAGTCTAGCACATTACATAACCAGCACCACATAAATCCGCATTTCAAACTTACAAAAATTATAAATATTTCAACAAACTTTAACAATCACAACCAAAAATTTTAAACTTTTTATTAAAAAGTTGTATAAACATTTAAGGTATGCAGTTTTATAGCCCATTAAATTTTAGTAGGTTAAAGTGCAAATTTCAAGACGCTAGGCATACCGTATTGCAACGGGGTATAGTCGTTGTGTTGGGTTGGGTATGCAGCTACAGTTGCACGGCTATACTCAATCTCGACTCTTGCGTCCTCGTTCGCGCATTCTGGGCAACGTGAGCAACCCATGTGCGCGATGCGGTAACCAATCCGAGCCTTGGGTCACGACAGAAAGATAGGGAGCTTCGGTGGGGCTACTCCGACTTATGCGGTTTAAGGGCTCACTGAAGTCTGCAGCGCACATAGGGTCATTTGAACGATTTAGGCGGCCATAAACCAATTTGACAACATTTTGCAGAATATGGTCAGATGAACGCATGCCCGACGACTGGAATTTAAGTGTGCTCTGTCCAATCCACAAGAAAGGCGACCCCGCTATTCGCGCCAACTACCGCGGGGTCAGCCTCCTAAGCATAGGTTACAAGGTCTTATCGAGCGCATTGTGTGAAAGATTCNACTGAAGCCCACCGTCAATGAACTGATTGGGCCTTATCAGTGTGGCTTTAGACCTGGCAAATCCACCATAGACCAGGTATTCACAATACGCCAAATCTTGGAAAAGACCCCTTCGACTTTAAAGCCGCTTTCGACAGCACTAAAAGGAGTTGCCTATACGCCGCTATGTATGAATTTGGTATCGCCGCAAAACTTATACGGCTGTGTAAAATGACGTCGAGAAAACCACCAGCGCCGTCAGAATAGGGAAAGACCTCTCCGAGCCGTTCGCCACAGGGCCCTGTTTCGGACAGGGCGACTCCCTCTCATGTGACTTCTTTAATCTGATGGAGAAGATAATAAGAGCTGCAGAACTGAACCGCTCTAGAACAATTGACTACAAGAGCGTGCAGTTGCTGGCTTTGCCGATGGTATCGACATCATCGGTAACAAAAACCGCGAAGTCTGTTCTGCCTTTTCCCAAGTTGAGTAAGGAAGCAAAGCGAATTGGTCTGGTGGTAAACGAGGACGAGACGAAGTATCTCCTGTCATCAAAACAAATAGTCAGCACATTCGCGCCTTGGCAGCCACGTCACTGTTGACAGTTATAATTTCGAGAAAGTAGAGAATTTCGTTTACTTGGGAACCAGCATTAACACCGATAATAATGTCAGCATTGAAATCCAACG